GTGCTCCCGTTTCCCCGGTGCTCCCGTTCGCCCGGCATCCCGGCATGGAGCATGACCCGCTCTCCTCGGCCAGCAAAGGCAGTGAAACACAGGGGTTATTCTTGACTCCGGTCTAGTCTCAAGACAAACTTTCCCCGGATGAAGGCTGTCTGACAACAAACATAATGCTGTGTTGCAATTATGCTAAATTTAACAACAGAAACAGGATTTCAAACCACGCACACACTCCTGCCAGATGGAAAGGCCAAACCTGCCACCCGAGACAACCAATGGAGGATCCAGCAGAAACGGAGCCCACAGACACATCCCGCATATCCCGGCTCCCGCCAGGATCCAACACGTCACTGCAGGGCGCTCTGCCGTCCCTCCCTCCCAGGGGCAGGGGAAACAAACCGGCTCCAGGAGAAAAATCTAACTGCTGCCTGTGGCTGACTGCTCCAAACAGGGCTGGAAACTTGGCCGTGTTGCAGGAGGCTGGGGTGGGGGCGAGGGACTGAAAATGAACAAAAGGAAATGAATTTTAAAAGATCAGTCCCCAACAACCCTGAAGTCCAGAGCCCAAATGCATTTTCTTAATAAGAAAAGCAAATGGAGGAACAGACAAGAACCACTCTGCTAATGGCAGAGGCGAAGCGGGTCCCCGGGCGAGCGCCCTGCAGAGCCTCCCAGGGCGTCAGCCGCCCCCGGGACGCTGACGGCTGCGCGGCTCCCTGCAGAACCTGGCAACAGCTTCAGCCCTCCTAGCTAAGGGGGAAAAACAAAGCAGGATTTAGTCATTTCGTATTCTCTCTTTAATAACCTGCACGTGTCTGGGCTGCTGAGCTACGAAACGAAGGCGGCACGCAGGGAGCCCTGATGTGAACGGGACCAGGCCCGCACGCTTGGATCCAAACTTCCTACCAGGAGCGTTTGGAGCCGTTCTGAGACACGCGCTGGATGCTCCGGGCTCACCAGGGCCTCAAGGACGAAGCCTCTCCCCGTCCCTTGGTCCCCGCAGCACGGCCGTCGCGGGGACGGCCAGGAGGGCTCCAGCTCCGGCGTGCGCACGTCCTCGCG